AGACAGACAGAGAGAGAGAGAGAGAGAGAGAGAGACAGACAGAGAGACAGAGAGAGAGACAGAGAGAGAGACAGAGACAGACAGAGAGAGAGAGACAGAGACAGACAGAGAGAGAGAGAGAGACAGAGAGACAGACAGCCATCCATCCATCCATCCATCCTCAGGTCAGCGTGAGACTCACCAGGCTTGGACAGATGGGGGGTTTCCCTCGACGTGTATCCCACCACGCCCACCTTCTCCCCGCCGACAGTGAGGATCTTATACGGTAAGAAAGAGCTGCCGAACGTCGCCGCCAGAGTTTCATCCGGTCTGATGTTGGCGCTGAGAACGGGACACTTGATGTGCTGCATGAACGGCTTCATGAGGCCCTCCACTCCGTTGTCAAACTCGTGATTTCCAAAAACCTGACGAACAAAAAACAAAAAACAAATTTGAAAAACATAATTAGAACTGCAGAATGAGATTCAGGCCGCTGCTCTCGGAGACATACGGTGTATTATAGTGTGCTTAGTGAAAGCACACAGACTAGTTGCTCTACATTCTGCAGACGGTGAACTTAGAACATGAAAGAATACAACCGGACACGATGGATGGTGGAAGAAGTTCTCATGCTGTATTTAAAGGAGCGGGCTCCTGTAGAAACCATCAAACTACTGACTCACTTACTGTTACACACCGTCGCACTGCACTTAACACTTTGATGACATACTTCATTATATAAATATATATATATATATATATATATATATATTTATTCCCGGTACATGTATATATGATGGATGTTGTTATTTGAATGATAACGAGAGGAAACGTGATCCATCATCCATCTAAACTCAGAACACTACTTTAAAAGAAGCTGATCAGACTGTAGTTGTTATTAATAATCAATAATTCATGAAGCTCTCTGTGTGTGTGTGTGTGTCTCTCACCATGGCATCATAACCCAGTTTGTTCATGAAGTGTGCAGCTTCGGCTCCTTTGTAGTAGTTGAACCAGACGGACCCCTGGAACTGGTCTCCGGCGTCCAGCAGCAGCACGTTGCTCTCGGCGCTGCGGATCCTCTTGATCATCGTGGCTCTCCGGGCCACTCCGGCGAAACACCCGCCGCCTCCGCCGCATTTCCCGGAGTACTTGCTGGTCTCCTCTATCCGGGCGTGCACGTCGTTGGTGTGCAAGAGAACCAGGTCCCAGGTCGCGGAGGTGGACACGGAGAAGAAGCCGAGCAGCAGCAGGAGGACGAGCCGCGGCAGAGCGCTCCGCTCCGGGCGCACCGCTTCCATTTCTCCGCTGCGCGTAAAAACACTGGAGGAGAAACCCGGGACGTGTGGTGGTTCTTTACTGTTACATGACCCGCAGGAACCGGTTCTCTTCGCTCCTTCTGCTCCTCTTTATGAGTTAAACGAGTCCCGCTGACACCACATGCTGGGCAGACTAGACACAGCGCGCCTCCGAGGAGGAGGAGGAGGAGGAGGAGGAGGAGGAGGAGGGGTGTTATGATACGCCTTTTCTTCTCTCGTGGCTTCCCCCCCCCCCCTTTCACTTCTCCTCACATTTATTAACTCTGAAGAAAAGACGCTGGTGGAAGTTTAACTGGAGGGAAGTTTATTTATAGACTGAACAATAAGGGAACAATGAACACAAGGTAACATGTAAAATGATTAAAACGGAATAAAATGAATCTGTAAAACTGGAAGTGGAAAACATTTGTGTGTTTCTAATAATAAATAAACTCGTTTGTTCTGCAGGATTCATGGAAGAAAACCTCAACATGAAACAGTGAACAATAAAATGTCTTCAGGAGCAAACATGTTGAGTACACACCTACACACACACACACACACACACACACACACACACACACACACACACA